GTATGTTTTATTGCGGACGAGGGATGTTTCGGTGACGTTTATAATCGGGTGAAGCAGAACTGGGAGGTCTGAGCAAATATGTTTTTTTCCACAATCTGCGTGTTCTTAATTTTAGTCCACTTTCACGCGTTGGTCCTATCAAAGTACATGCATTTCGTTGTCCACACGTACATGGATATAAATATATATTATATTAATCAACAAAGGTACATATCCTCTACCCCAGCGGCCATATAATACCGCACGTCATTGGACACGGTCAGCGTGCGAAGTGTTATACAGCAGTAACAACTATAATATTATAATATAAATTAACACTGCACGCGCTTTTACTACTGCAGGGCAAATGTATTCTTTGCGGACATGACGTTATTACCATTATCATTGTAACTCGAGTGATGCGAATCGTAAAGACGTGCCGAGGACACAAATAAAGAGGTGAAAACGACGAAATAAGTGGCTGTGTACACAACGCGTTTACGTGAGCGTACTCGACGGCCGTTTTATTATTATTATTATTATTATTATTATCATCGTCTTTTTACACGCGTAGTAATTAGATTAAATTTTTTTACCACCAATCGAACACATCTTATTTGATTGTGTTATCGTTATACTATCATCATTGTTATACATATTATATTTATATTTATATATTGCACATACCTACTCGCGCACGCATATCGCAGTCTGCCTTGCTGTATGTAAAAAAAAAAAAATGTCACGTGACTGGTGTTTTGATATTCATTACGCGTGACTTCCGTGTCCGCACGTTGTACTTAACGATCAACAGACGACGCGCATAAATCCGGACGCCAGTGTAATGCCGTTTCGCCGTGTTGAGAATTTGCAAAATGGCTTAATGATGACGTTGGTTTAATTTCGGAACGATCGTAATAACGTTGAACGCGAATTTATTTAATCGTTAGGCAAATTGGCTTTATTTTTTTTCTTACCAGCCACATTGTAATCTTTATCTGGGCTTCAACACTAATTCTCGCCTCTACCTTCCCACAATTGGTCGTGTTAATTAATTTGTTAATTCTATACAGAAACAATTTCGTTTTTATGATATATATATTTATATATATTTATTTGCGTTTATTGCGATAACGATTATTTTCTTTTGAATTATATCGCACATCAATTACCATATTTATCTCAATAAATAGTTATAGAGTTTAATGAAATATGGTACGATGAATTTATTCGCAACACCACATTAAACAAATACACTCGAACTAATGTTTTAAATACTTACATTTCTTCTAAATGCATTATTGCAATAAAATGAGACAATATCAACCAGCACGTCCGTATTGGTTCCCGGATTTTTGCAAAGGGTATATCTGAATTTTATTGGTTCCCGGGTTGTAACAAAGAGTATATCCGAATTGGGCCCTAGGTTGTTGAAAATTATAGCTTTTTTATTGAAATACAAATTTATAACTATTTTATACTATAAGATTTTTATTTTTTTCACTGTATATAAATTCCACATTCAAGAAGTTTTAAACACAAATTCAATCACTATATATGTACAGTCCGCAGTTATTTTGATGCATTACTAAATATGGCAATCTATTTTATATATAATTATAATGACGGAAAATATGTTATTATAGTATTAAATAGTAGTATTTCGCATTTTTTGAAAGTCTTTATCAGGAAATAATTAAGATTTCAGTTTTCAGGTATGGAAACCAATTCAGATGCAGCCACATGAACATGATTTATTTTAAATTTCTGTAACTGCATATAGTTAAATTTATACAATAAATGCAATCACCTATGAAGAATACCATTTGTTATTTCCTGTATATAATGTGAATATTATCGTCACTATCATAAATTATATTTATTTGTATAAATCGAAGTAACTAAAGTACCTATATTACCAATAATACATGAAGGACGCACATATTATTCTATGTTTATAATTGTACACATTGTGTAACAGTTGTGAAACAATCGCGTTAATCTTATCGATATATTATGTTTGATTCTAAGTTCATCAATACCAACTTGGGTAAAAACATATGAATATTGGAATAGATTATCTCGTTAAATTCAGTACAAACTATTTACAATAACTTAAATTTAATTCCAACTTGACTATAGTGGTTATAAAGTAATATATCATGAGTTATGCGAGTTATGCCTAATACCAATTATCAAATATATGCAGTATCAGATTTAGGAATAAGTTAACATACGTATATGTACTAGTTATTTGTAAACATAGACGAGAAATTAAAATTATATTTTAGAGAAATTTATTTTTCCAAAAATAAGAATATGAAAAGACAGATAATACTTTTGTTTCAATACTCAAATTATACATATTTTTAATTTGACATTAAACCATCTCATCAATATTAGGAAATAAGCAGATAAAATCAGTTGGTAATTTATTAAGCCAATATAATCATCACTTTGCTCACAATTTTAAACATTTCACGCATGAATACATTTAATTTTTAGTGAATACAATTTTACAAATAAGTTTGATCTTCAAAAACACAATAATTTATTAATTTGACAATGGTATTTAATTAAAAAATTCTATTAAATATTACATTTTAATAATTTTTATGTTTAAACATTTATTATTAAATGTCTTATCTTTCTTCAGCATTATTTATCTAAATACTTAGTATTGTTTTTTAAATTTAAGTAGAAAAAATAAAACAACTTTTTAAGAACTTTCTTTCATATCTCATCCGATGTAAGTTATTTTATAAAAGACTTACTACTAATGTTTGTTATTTATTTATTTTATATATACATTGTAAAAAATACACATTAAGGTAAATCGATCATAAATAACTTTATAAAGTGATTTTAAAGTTAAAATACATTAAAAAAAATTTAAATAAACATTGTACACAATCTTTAAGGTTATCTGAAAGGATTTTTTTTGAATATTTGGTCATTGAAAAAATGTAGTAACTGAATATTATTAAAAAAAAAATATGTTCCCAGATTCAAAAACAGAGAGTACTTATTAATATTTTACTACACCACTAAGCGGCTACTTTTATATAGATACATACATGTATAGTTTTCTTTGAAAAGAGTTTAATACTTCAATATTATTTTTTTTTAAATAAACACTATACAAATATTATTATACAATTTATTATTTTAAAATGTTGTATGACTGAATGAAAAAAAACAAATAATGAACATTGCCGTTTTATTTTTTGTTTTACACGAATAAAAATATTTAGAAAAAATATTTTTGAAAAATTATTAAATTATAAATTAATGGTTAACAAATAAAAAATTATCTACGAGTGCATGAAAAATTAAACAAAGATAAAAATATTATTTAATATTGCATATTTAAAATATAAAAATTCAAAATATTAATAAGATGTATTACTGTAAAAAATAAAAAATAAATTGTATAAGAATTCAAAATCTAAAAGAGAATATTTTAAAAATGTTTTTTTTTTTTTCTTAATTGTAAACAATTCTAAAAATCTAATTATAGTTGTGTAATATTGAAGTAAAACTTAAGCATTTAATAAAAAATATGTAAGTTAAAACATAATAAAATGAAATGAAAATTGTTGTTATTTTATAACGTAACAAGTTACGATCTAGGTTATAAAATTAACAATTCATTTTTAAGTTTATGCCTCTAAAAAATATTTTAAGAGTTTGTAGCACCAATATTTTTATTTAATTAAAATGAAAAAATATTTATATCAAGGATAATAAAAATAATCTAAAACCAATTTAAAAATTTACTCTTATCATAAAAATAATATTGAGCTTATTTCATATTTTATTTTATTTTCATTTTTTTTTTTTTTTTTTTGTATGTTTAACAATTTACTATAATAATATTGTGCCTAGAAATATTATTACATGAATTCAGTTTTAAATCAATCAGAATTAAATGCATTTATTTGAGTTGAGCTTGTTTAGCTTTAGAAATGTAAATATCCTTAAAAGTATTAACAAATATAATTTGTGTAAGTTCAATTTGTTTCCATTCAAATCTCGCTGAATATACAACGCATATTTTTCTACCAGTTTTAAGTTTATAAAACATAATATATAAAACATTTTTTTTAATTCCCATTCAAAGTTTTTAATAACCTAATTTCCGATAGAAAAATATGTATATATATATCATATTTCGATGGCTTGAATAGACGTATTATATATACATCACAAACAACAAAAAAACGCGGTAGATTATGTAGGTAGAGTACGTATAGAAAGTAAATTGGACCCTTATAAAAATATATTTTACTTTTATATCATATTATTATTTTATATATTTTTATAATCACTCATAAATAGTTATCAATAGAAAAAATTTTTAAAACTGAATTAAATTTAAATTTGTTTGAGTTATAAAACTATATATCATTTAAATGACTTTGGTGTTAATTAACTATTATTTTAAATATTTTAAATAGTAACATTTTATTAAAATATCGAATCGATTTATTTGAATACTATCATTATAGATGATATAAACAGTATTTTATAAACGATCTCATCGAATCTACAATAACCTACATAATACCAACATATCATGTATTAAAATCTGAACAAATGTTTAAACTTTTATATAAGTTTTTAAAATTTTAAACTGTAGTTAAAATAGATAATTTTAAAAGTTACATTGTCATGTTTAATTCATATAATATTCCGAATTCTTCCAAATATAATATTTTATTATAATAATTATAAATTAATGTATATATATATGTGGATTTTTTTTATTTTTCAATGAATATTATTCACTCGTATTTATTTATAAGTCTATTGTATACTTAAAGTACCTATAATGAAATCATTTAAATTGAAAAAGGAAATATTTTTATTTATCAAAAATCAAGTATAAGTATCTAAACTAATAAGAATTTATTTTTCTTCCATATTTTGTGATTCAATTAACAAGGCGATTTTACAAAATTACTGATATTGTGCCGTATTAAAATTGAGTTAAAACTTAAATAATTAAATAAAATTACCTAGATCCCAATCTCTTCCTTTTTCATGACGTTCGCTTTCTGCGATTACATACCATATGCACGCAAACCAATGTGCAACTAATGTAAATAGGAGCATCAACAGTGTGAGAATCATACCACCATATTGCGAATACCTGTCGATTTTTTGCAACAGTCTTGCTAACCTCAGCAGTCTAGTCAGTTTTAATAAATGAACCTGTCCTGAACCAGCTTCCTGAAAAAAAAAAAGAAAACATTATAGTTAATAAACAAACGTTTATAACACTGTTAATTAATTATATATAGTTAAATCAATTTCATTTCATTAAATTTTCAGGTTGGATGCTTTGTGAAGAAGATACTCAAATCATTTTAAGTTGTTTAATGATGAAATCTACATAGGTACGTATCCTACTAAGTCAAATTAGTATTTACACACGGCTTCAGCTAGGGAACACCATTAAGCTGGTATAATAATATACTTGCTATAAAGTGAACCCTCTTAGACGACATTTCGTGACTATATTAGTTTAAAAACTAGTCATTATATTACAAAATTATATTTATGCTGTTTACATTTTTAGGAAAAATAATGTATAAATTATAATACAATATACGTTATTGGTGTACGAAAATACTTTTTAGGGAAACTATAAATATAATAAAATAATAAAAATTCCTATATCATGATGAATGTATAACAGACATTCGTACAAAGAAATTATATCGTGGTTATTTTTACACAGGAAAACAGATTTATTGAAAACATATTTTATTTATTGAAATTTATAATTTAACAAATTTAATAATTCTATAAATATTGCCATATTTTGAAAGCTGCAAGCATCATTCAATAATCGAATAGCGTCTAGTAGTCAAAATGTACTGCATATTCGTTTTTTTCTAATATTATAAAAAACAACACTTGATTTGTATTTAATAATGTTATAATATAATTTATCATTTTTAATTGAATTTAAGCAAATTCATTTATCTCTAATTATTTATAAAAAAAAAAAAAAAAAATAATGATTCGTGATTGAATATTATTTAATTGTTGTGATTTGTGATACTCGAAGTTTAGAAGCAGAATATTTCAACATAATTGAAGTGTACCTACTATAATGGGTTATTGCAATATCCATTAAGCTTTAAAAAAAGGTTAAAAAAAAAAGGTCAATATATCACTACAAAATTTTATTGCAGATAATAATCAATTCAGTAACTAGTAGAGTTTATTAAATTTACTTAGTTTTTAATAAATAATTCTAATAATTTCGAACTTAATATCTTAAAATATTTTACATATATTTATTAAATATAACAAAAATAAATATCTTTATAATATCTAAATTATAGACATTATATTATAGTGTTAGAGTTGCGTAGTTTATAACTGTTTTTCATAGCCTCATAGGTTTATATTATCATAAATTTATATTACTCCTTCAGTGACAGGTAAACATTTTCATTTTATTTTCTCAATTTCTTTCTATCATATAATTATTCATAAATAACATATTCAGTCGACATTTTGATAACTCGTCATGCGAATAGTGAATAATAAGTTTTATTTTTAGTTTAATTGATAAATTTAATTATAATAAAAAGAATGTATTTAGAGTAATCCTTCATAGATAAAATTGGGTATCCAATTGAGTTCCATAAATTGTAAAACGCATGTACACAATTTCATAATATCTTTCTAAATTTCTAATAAAATTAGGTTTTATCTAAGGTAAAATATTTTTTACACAAATAAAAAAATAAAATTTTAAATATAAATTCATTAACATAATTTGAACACCGGTGTTCTTAAGTAATCTACATACTAATATAAAGTTATTAAACTTTTTTATGTATTTCAATTCAATATTAAGCTGATTAATATACTCTAATTTAACAAAAAAATATTTATCTAAACATCATGGGATATGTCACTCTAATTAATTTTTATAGTAAATATTATTTTTAATTCTAACCAAATTCGGGAAATATTTTTAGGATGACAACCGCAAGTTCTATATTTTTTTAAGTATTATAACTTTCCATCAATTCTCTGTATATCATACAATAAGCTCAAATAATATACCTTATTAGATTTGTGTTATTAAGTCCTACTAGTAGTTTCAACGAAATACAATAGATCTGTCAAGGCAGTTCAATTGATTCGATAAGATGAGCTATAATATCATGTTCTGTATTAAGAAAAATAATCCACTGTAAATCCTTTCTTGTAAACGTTTGTTAGTCGATATCAAATTAAATTTATATAACTGAATGGCAAAGAAGTTCTTCGATTCCCACATTTATCTGTGTACACATTCTACGACAATAGCTCACCAAATATGAAAAAGAACAAATTGCATTAAAACTGTTTAAAGACAAATATAAACGTATATAAACTCAATTTTAAGTTTTGAATTTGGAAGATTAAATGATGAAAACTATATTAATTTGATTAACTACTAAATTATAAATGATATGTCTAATATTGGATGTTTATTAACTATTAATCAAAACGTTAACAGAAATAGTATAGTTACTACTAATTTTTTTTTCTTTAATACAAAATATATTGGTTGTTCTTTAGAGAAAAAATGTATTATAATTGTATTTAAACTATACTTATTATATTTAAAATATATTTAAGCTGATAAAAAAAATAATTTATTGAGTATTTTAAAATGACGTTTATTCATGCTTCACTATCAATATAGAAATATATATCAACAAAATAATAAAAATATATTATTATTTCACTAAAAAAAAAAGACCAATAATATTTTAAAAATGTTGAGTATTTCAAATAAATCTACCACGTTGTACTTTAATCTTATTAAAAATGTTTAATTCGAATTTAATTTAATATAATCCTGTACTTTATTAAAAGATCAACATACCTGTATTACATATATTTTTAACGAATAAATAACGAAAAAGATAAGGCATTATATATATAATACTGCATATTAAAATATTCATTTTCTCTTTTATTCCAATAAAAATTCTATGTCATATAACCGAAATCATATTTAATTTCCTATTTTATTTTTGATAAATTGATTTTTCAGTATATTTTACACTATCACTAACATTATTTTTCTATAGTAGAATTGGATTTTTTTTTGTTAAAAGTTAAAATTTGAAGTATAGCAATTAATGTATTGATTTAAAAATGATTTGAGTTAATTCTTTTAATTCTTTCTTTTTTTTTTTTGTCTTTTTTTATCACTTTTTGAAGCAATTAAAGTGCTTTAATTTTCAATTTTAATATCTTTTCTGGATGAAAAGTGAATTATGCATTTTTACACAAAACTAAATTATAAATTTAGAATTTCCAGAATAATTTAACTCAAATCTTGTAGATTCTTTAAAAAAAATATATTTTGAATACAAATCTCACGATAACACGAACTCACGACATAATCTCGCCGCGAGGCCGATCGTACGAGTGACATTAACTGCAACATTGCGCGCAGCAGTGCTTGTACAGCTATGCGATTGCAGCGTTATCCGGTTCATGTTTTATTCATTTATTATTTCAAACGTTATCTATAAAATATTTTATTTCAACGTAGATAACAATAATAAATAAACCGCGTACTGATAGTTGCGGAAAGTATACATTTGTTTTCACCGGCCTGCGATAAATGTATTATATTTTTGTTAAGCTCTATCAATCCATGCATGTATACTTAAAATTATTTAAAAAAATTGATTAACAAATATATATATATATATTACAATTGATTTAATAACACGAATATTGAATACGTTCTGATAGACGTTCATTTTTTTTTTTTCAAAATTGCTTACTTATTAATGAACCTTAATAATCATTATGTACTCTCATATAAATATTATATGCGTGTTCTAAAAAGTTTTTATACATTATAATATCCATATTTTATTGTATTAGAAGGATTTTTTCGATTAATTAAGTAGTAGGCATCGAATAAAATAATTTTTTTTTATGGTGATGAAATAACTTATAACTTAATAATTTTACATACACAGCTAAAAAATATCGACATAAATTTGAATTATTTTATATTTTAGTTTAAAATAAATTAATTGTTTTATAATTTATTATTGTTTTGAAAACTTATACACGTTTTTTGTCTTATCATATCTAAACCTTACACTTATTATTTTGGTTTATATTGATTTACAAGTTGCATCATTGAATAGTATTAGTTATGACTTATGATCAAATTAAAGTTAATATTGAAGGTATAGTATATCCTATTATAATAGATCTTATGTGTATTCATAAAAATTTATACCATGTAACTGAAGTTAGAGAGTAAGTTAAATAAACCGATTTGTTAATGATTTCTTGAAAAATTAAATTTTATTTTCATTTCGGTCAACATAAGTTCATACTTTTGCAGTTTTACTAGAAAATTTAAAACAGCAATTTTCGAAAGTGAAAAAAATACATTTATATTAAAATATAGGTATTATATTATCTTTCATTTCAAAGTTCCTAGATGCAAAATTACAGTACGTATGTATATACAAGTATTATACACGGGAGTTGACTTTTTGAAATAAATAATACTTTCGTCTTTATGCCACTACGATTGTGGTTATTTAAATGAATGGGTATGTCATTAAGGCAGAACCCTATATTATTATTACTACGAGTTTCTGAGAACAAAAAAAAAAAAAACTTTTTATTTGTACCGCGGAGACCGGAGCAAAGTTTTTCGCTTGAGCAACCGTCAGCGGCGTCACTTTGGCTGTTGCACGGTTAAATTTTTCACATGTTTGGTAGTAAATTGACTGTGAACCGCTCGCATAGATATTTAGGGTATACAAAATGTGTCAGTTGCTCGATGCGGTAATGGAGGAGGAAGGGAAAGGACGAACGACGGTGGTCGAGAGTTTTGCAAAGATCGTAAATTTTTCTACGTACTTTAGGCGTAAAGTATTATAGCACGCGTACCCACTACTCCTACATTATTCTCCCACTATTAAAATAACAACAACAACAACAACAAAAACTATTACGAAATACTCGCATATATCCGACGATATACTCACGTCTCCGCTGTAAACGTCCGAAGCGTACAACAGGTCGAACGGCAGGGCAGCGAATAAATCTACCACGAACCAGCTCTTCAAGTAATTGAAGGCGATCGTTTTGGAATCCGACACCACTTCGCCTTTTTTGTTGACAAAAGTCGTCCGAAAATTGAACAAAATATCTGTAAAATACAAAAAAAAAAAAAAAAAATGAGACTTAAGAACAATATACACATAAATCGGATTAAACGCAACAATATCATCGATACCTGATACATTTGATGTAATAATTGCATTAATATTAGAGATTCGAAATTGCGCGAATATTTCTAAAATACTTAATGTAAAATTTAAGAATATAAAAATTTTAATTTAAAAAAATAAATAATTTCAATATTTTATTATACCTACATAGTATATTTATAGTGGTAGAACAATGCATGATATGTTTTTTATTGTTTTTTTTTTTTTTTTTTGATTTAACTAAAATAAAATATGTTTATATTTATACAATATTATTATATTATTTCTATTAACTTTTGAGTCAATGTTACCTTACCGTAAAACAGAGTAAATAAGTTCAATGTCCATTCTATAAATAGATAGGTTGTATATTAATATTAACCTACATAATATATTAAATATTTCATTCTAAATAATGAATAATACACGTAAAAGTTTTAAGGTAATTATAGTTATAAAACATTTATTTTGATAATATTATTGAATTTACGTAAAATTCCTATTTTTCAATCATTTTTGATTTTCACCTGTTCAAAGTCCAAATCAGATCCAATTTTTTATCCAAAACTATCTTCTTAAAGTAAAAAATCAAAGCTGTTTTCGAGTACCTATTTATCAAGTATACAAATACACACAAAAAAATATGCATCATTGTAAAATCAATATATTTATCAATTCACTTAGAATCTAAAAAAATATTTGACGTTTAATTTGTAAGCACCTTTTGGAATTTATTTAAAAAATATGCATACATTAATACCATAATTTGGTTTCAAAGAGTATAATGAGTGATATCAACACAATATTGTTAAGTGGTAGCTACTAAATAGATAATTTCTAAACTACGTTTATCAAATTTCATAAAAAAAATCAATAATAACAACCTGACCAATAGTATTCATCCATATTATGATATTTAAATTTATTTTTTATAATTTCGTCAAAATAGTTTTCGAGTACCTAGTTTAAATTCAGAACCTTAATAAATACACAAAGTGCAACATTTGGTATTAATTTAATGTTCTGAGTTCAGACTTATGCATATATGCATGATGTGTTATATATGATAATTTATTATACGATTTCTGACTTAAGAAGTTATAAAATTAATTTTAAAAGATTTATAATGAAATGAAGTAACTTTTATTTGACATATTTAATCATAAATACGTATTTTTATATGTTTTTATTTGGCAGATATTCATATTAAAATAATTAATATGGAATGGTAAAATCTGCATGCTGCTAAAAAATATAATATCATATTAGATAATAAATTGGACATTTGTTGCATATGAAATCGTATTAGAGAAACTATTAGAACTAAATTTTCCAAAATACCTAAGTTAAGTGTTTGATTAAAAAAAATAAATATTTTTGAATGCTCTTAATTAAGTTTAAAAGTTACAAAAAATCTATCTAAATTTTGTTTATCCCCCAAAATTAGTTATTTCCAGATTTAGGACTTGATAAAGTAAGATATTATTGTTGAAACATTCAAAATATAAAAGTTATTACGTTAACGTAACATTGGATCCCATTTTAGTAGTTTTCGTTTAAAAATCAAACAATCACAAAACATAGAATTTTTAATGAGAATTTAATTTTTATGTTTTTTTAACTTTGAACAATTTTGAAATGACTTAATATTCCAATTAAACAACTAGATACATTAAAAATTATAGTTATTCTAAGTTAAGAACTCATTAAAGAATCTATAAAACTATGAACCATTTTAATAAATTAATATAAACAGTATGATAGCTTATTGAAGTTAATAAAAAAATGAATATAAAGAAATAACATAATCCATGATTATTAATTATTTACATAATTATATAAAAAAAAAAAAAATTGATATACGCATATTGTTTTATAGAATTTGATTTTTTTAATACACTTAGATCCAAGCCCTAGTTAGTATCTAATTCTTACTAAACATACATACACAATGCCTTAATAATGGCTGGAGTAGTAATGGCTTATATCAAGTGTATCAATGTATTATAAACAGACGCACAATAATAATGCTATATGCGCACGACACTTGCTCGTGAATTCGTGATATAAACAAATCGCACATACCTACATTATAATTTATTGTTTGTCAGACTTCCATAGTTATGGTTTAATATACCTACAGCGTACCCTACGTTTGAAGCCCACACAAATTCGATTTAATGAACCATATCACAGTGTGCACAAAATATAATATGTGTTTGCAGAATGTGTGTACAAAAACATTATTAATTGCACGTGCTTTAAAAGCGGCTTGCAATAGAAAACAAATTAATTATAAATTTAGTTGATATATATTATATTATACAAAATATATACAGAATGGTTCAATGAAAATGCTCATCCCCGTGTTTTGATTTAATAATAAATTAATTCAAATTCAAATTTTTAGAATTTTTAAGGTCTTTTACTCAAAAATAATATTTCTAAATCACAAGATTCTTTAATGACTATTCAGTGGTGATGTAAGCATTTTTTTTTCAAATGACCACCACCGTATTTTATTATAATTTTTGAAAAGAATTATTTTGTTTTATTTTTTGAAAATGTTAACATACTTGTATACTTGTACGCACATTTACATCTAATTAAATGCATACATAACATTAATCTTTGCCTACATATTTTATTTGCTTGATACTACAACTTACGAGATACCTATTTAATTTAAAAACAAATATATGTGTACTGAGACAATCGGAATTAAATCAAATTATGCAAAGTGATGTTTATTCAAGTTAACGAGGTACCAAATTTAAGTATTTATTTAAGAGAAGCGATAAGAGAATTTTTTTATTTGGATGATTAAAAGCACAATAATATTATACTTGCAATAGATTTTGTAAGAAAAATTGGTGAAAATGAAAACAATCTGATCAACTTCTTTATTCAAAGTACTATATGTGATAGTAAATAAAAATAATATAATAATTTATACTTAATATTACATTTTGTTAATAATTAATCAAAAAAACGCTATTATAATAGCTATAATTTAATAATAATAATAATAATAATATTATGCATGTATAATTAATTTTAATTAATGATATTTATTCTTCAAAGCCTAATAATAATTCAATGGATAATAGATTTAAGAACTACTAAAATGCATTAATATTCAAGAGACCTATTTAAAATTTTTATATTTATTTAAGTACCCAATACGATGTTTTATTTAAATTTTATAATGTAAATTTTTTCAAATCTAATTGGGCACTATAATCAATTCCTGCATAATTTAAACTTATTCCAAATTGACCCTCGAAAATAGGACATTATACATAATGCTAAACTACCCACTTAGCCTATAACATATATTATATCTGTTTAAAAATATATAAATGATTTTTGGATCATTAAAAACGTTAAAAATTCTCGTTAGTTCGCATTAAGTTAAGATTTTACTCAAAATAAATAACTTATATTTAGATATATTAATAAATTAGTTTTATTTTTTATTAAAATTAAAATATAAAAACGTCTCAACCTATATCTATAACTTATAGCATATAATATTATGTATTTTCAAAATACAATAATAACGTTATAATAGTTTTAATCTTAGCCTTTTTATACAAAATATAAATATTACTTTTTATATAGTTTTATTTAAGGTAAAAATTATGGCTTTTAAAAATAATATTATGCAAAAAAAGCCGTGCACGAATGGTGTATACTTAATGATTTTCTTATCTTTCCCTAAATTCACGTTATTTTAATGTAGAAACGCGCATTTTAACTTATTGTACTATATTATAATATATGAAAAGTCTGAGAAGTAATAAATTATTTAGATTATTAAATTTTGAAATAACAAATAGTACTGCTACTAAACAATTCACAAAATATACAATATTACACTTAGCAATATTATCTTACACGATATCTAAAATTAAAAAAGTAATATATACCTCTATCTAGGTATCAATATATCTGAAGATCACAAATTTATTAAAATGTAAATAAAGTGTGTCTATACATTTTGGAAATATTTATGTGAAAAAACTGATATGTTTTATGAAAATAAATTGCCCGAAAACAGGTAAAATCCATTTTTTTCTCTTTTAAAGTTTTAGTTACTTTTTCGTAATTTATACCAAATCTACAAAACTGTTTGTGTGTTTTTATAAGTAAACATCTTTTTTGGATCGAAATACAAATACATTCGGTAAATTGGTTGTTAAAGATATACATAATATGCTCTGAAAAAAAAAATAAATAGACAATGATAAACCAATAACATGATTAATTTACCTACAATGTAATGTTTCATCAAAAATAAAAAAAACATTGGAGATTGAAATTTTTTCAGATTGATACAGCGCTAATTATTATTATTATTATTATTATTATAATTATTATTAATACCCAAGTAAAAATTTAATTAATTTTACGCGAGAAAGAAATAAAAATTTTTCCTGATTTTTCCCCGGTTTCCTGTTGTTAAATAATGATAATAGTTGTAAGCAGAATCTGTTAATATATTTTTATCGTTAGCAAATACAAATTTTCTGACGTTTTTCGTTTAGCACAGAAATACATAAGCCGTGCATTTACAGACACATTATTTATTTAATTAAATACTTTTTAATTCACGAATTTTACGTTTGACAACAAATATTAAAATATTTATCAATGTTGTGTTAACGATAGCACTAAAACTATCGTTCTAGTTTTTATGAAATCCTTACATTGTATGAACAACACAATCATACAATTATTGCAGAATTAAAGTATACTATTTTGTACTTTTGCGGATGCTTAAAAATAACAGCGAGCTCTCTATAAACGGTATATAATATTATGTTTTGTTTAGTTTAAATTATATTTCTCTAAATTACTAAAGCCATAAAAATGCGAACACTTATTAAAATTAAAAAATCTACTACCCACACGGTTGAAATATAATGGTTTCGTC